GATAATGTCTAGTGGTGTAGTTTTAACTGTGCCGCAAGTACATTAAGCAGTGCAGTAATGGACGGGAAGACAGAACCTCTGAAGTGTCTCCTCTTAATAAGCATGCAGTGATTCGTGTGTTGCAGTACTTCAGCATAATAAAGCGAATTAAAGACAGATCTTCTATGTTTGTAGCATCTTACATTTGTTTTCATTTAATTATTCACTCTACCAGTGAAGATAATAATAGCTTTTCATTATAAACTTTCCCTGAAGATATGGAAGAAAACCTCTTCTCATCTACCTAGAAGTTCAAAACAGTTTTCAGTGTCAGAACCAGATGTAAACAGCCTTAGCATAAATGTGAGGGTTTATTCCATCTTGACTATCACAAGCTTGAAATCAAAACGACTACAGTGGTAATTACTGTACAATGTGATCTCATCATCACTGATCCTTGTGCTGGCATCCCAGAAACTCTCATTAGAAGGCAGCTATGTCCAGAGCTGTTTGTAGATGCTCTGTAACCACTTGTTATTGATTGGATCATCAGTAACCATGCTGATCACCTACCTATTAATTTAATCAGTGGTGGATAGCACTTGTCCTACAAAGAATGAGAATCTATAAAAAAAGGAGGTAGAAAAATTAAATAAAATGCTGGGTTTGTAGAAATAAGAGGGATTCATCTTACTTGGTTTTTCCATTTTCTGAAATAAACTCTGCCAAGGGAATACAGGAAAGTCTGAGGTCTGCCCCTAACAGGGAGCCTTCCATAGCTTCAGTGCTTAGGCCTAAACTATTTAGGATTTGATAGCTGTATAACGGAGAGGAAACCATCAAGCAGGAACTGTGTATTTCTATTTGTATAATATTTGTTTAGCAGCTTATACGACGTTTCTGTGTATAGTAGCTTCTCTTTATGAATGGCCATCTTGAATTTATCTTACTTCTGAGTAGTTTCGTTCTGTAAAGGAGATAGTAAAAGATTCCAATACATTTTTTCGTGCTTTGGGCAGAGGATAGCAGGAGTTGATTGTGCTCTTTCTGTCTCTCTCTGGTTAAAGGTGATAATTGTGCCTGGACTCCTGTATGTAGCCAGCGTCAAGATGCAGGATTATCTCCAGCTACGTTAGAAACAGGTGAGGATGAGTTTTCTAAACCAGGATCATAGGGGTTTCCTTCCTTTGTTGTAAAAATAATTAAAAGCTTCTAATAGAGAAACAAGGTCTAGAAAATTTGGGGCAGAGAAATCACTTACTAACAGCATATATATATATGACGTACGATGCTGATGGAACCAGCCTTTGAGTGAAAATAAATGCTGTGAATTAAGTCCTCTGTTTTAGTTTGGCATTTTTGCTTTCACTGTATTTCTTATCGATCTCTCTTGTAGAGGGGGAGAGGTGCTGGGCCTAAACCCTTACAAGTTACATATGTAACACTGAGTAGCTGGTGTTTCCCCTTATCATTAATGTCATCTGAAGTCCCTGAAAGTAGAAATAATAAAAATGTCTGTGATTTATGAAGTACTTTAATTACCCGTGCACTCATCCTAAATGAAGTCCTTCTTGGTCATGGGAAAGAGTCTTACTCTTGACCCCTGGTTAAAATTACCCATTGCAAAGTTTGCTTGATTGCATGTTTTTGTTATACTTCAGACAAAACAGACATTTTATGACAAAGTAAAAACTTCTATGACAATATTTGTTTTGCCTTTTTTCTTCTTTTTTTTTCTTTTTTTTTAACTATTACTTTAAAGATATTCTTCCCCCCCTTTTTTAGTTCCTGTTTCTGGTTCTCATATGGCTGCCTCTGCTTGTCAGCATTCTTTGAGCAGTTTCCTACCACCTGGAAAACAGAGGGATGCAAGGAAAATTGATATACACCTAAAGCCAAAGGCTTTGCACACAGTCTCAAAAGAGCGACCACACTCTTTAGTGGACCTTAAGGCCTATAAAGACACAAAAATTTTAGTGGCAAAATTTTTGGAACATTCGAACTGTAATCTGCCTCCAGAAGTACGCCATGTAGTGAACAGCATACGATCAGTAATAAAATCTGATGAGAGACACATGGAAGAAGCCATCTTCAGTGCCAATATTATAGACCAGGTAGGCCATTTATGTTCTGAAGATCTGTTCAACTGTGATAGACAATTTATTTAAATATCTCTACAGTTTTAAGTACTTCAGACAATTCCTACAGTTCTATAGTAACACAGCTTCAGTAAGAAATAATTTATATTTATTGGGCAGCAACGCATTTTACACTGAAGCGCTCATAAATGCATTTAAAATTCTTCAGCTGGACTCGGTAATATCCTAAGAGATATACAGGGAGATGATTTACACACTGATAATCATCGTGTTTTATTTCCAATGTCTTTCCACACCTGTGACTGTTACATACATGAATTTGTGTTTATATACAGATACACAGAACTGTTGATTTTTTCAGGCAAATGTATTCATACAGCATAAGCTACTGGCTGAAAAGAGTGGGTAGATATACAGGCAGGGCCGCGATCTATCAGAACGGTGCAATTACCTATACTCCTGGCAAAAAGAATGATAACAACTTGCTATTTTTAAGAAAAAGGATTGAGAAATTGTGCTTTTCCAAATGAAGGAACAATGCATCTTCTCACCTCAAGTGAGAATAAAAGAGACATAAGGCTTGGAAGGAATCCTATAAAACAGGGAAATTAGTAGTGGCAGCAACTTCTATTATCTAATGCATTGTTTAGTAACACATCTTTTTTTCAGGAAGAAAGGTGATGAATCGCCTCTTGCTAGTATTGTTACCAGACTGATAGCTATAGAAATTTTCTGTTGTCAGATTTGAAAAGCAGAATGCTCTTAGCACTGACCACATTCAGGTTACCTGTAGGGTTTCCGCAGTGCTGGACAGACAATTAAGAATACACGCTTGGGGGCTGTTTCCCCCCCTTCAGAGATATTGTCATGTCTACAGTACTAGTCTGCAGCTCCCTAAGGGAGGGAAACTGGCCGAGTATTAAAAAAGGATGTAATAACACTTAAACAGCATGTGAGATAGTTTAATGTGTAGCAGAAACATTTAATAAAGCTTGCTGAAAGATTGGTTTTGCCACCTGTGAAGGAACAGAGAAGTAGCACTGCATCAGTTACCACCATAGTCACATGGGTAGAAATGCAGTACTATCATGACGTATTTAAAGGAGTGTCAGTATGGAATTAATTTTAACATTTTATTGCTCTACAGAATTTATAGGTCATTAAATCCTCAAGGTTAGAAAGTTGAAAACAGATTTTTTTAAAACGCAAAAAAACATAGTTTCTCACAAAACAAAACAGCATTAAAAAAATCTGAATGTTTATGTAGATCATAAAAACAGAAACCAATAGCACAATTTTTATCCTGTGTGAATTTCTTAGATCCTGGAAGATGTAATTTTTTTTCGCATTAAAAAAATAATTTTAGTTGGGTTTTTTTTCAGACAAATACCATTATTAACTGGTGAAAGTCCAGGACATCCCAGCTTTCTACTTAAGAAGTCACAAAATTTTGGGTAAAATTTGTGTAACTCAGATTGGTGAAGTAGTTTGACAGTTCTACTAACACCAAAATATTTACCAGGCTTGCAAGATTTTAGTTCTTTTCCACCCTCAGCAAAGCTAGTGAAGCATCTCTTTCTCTCTCTCTCCTAAAAGAACCAGATGAGCTTAATTTGCTCCAAACTTGTATTTGTCAATTATAAGTCAGAGCTGCCACGTTTTCCCCAGGTTTCCTTTTCACTCATATAGAGTGAAAGAAATGTGTGTTTGCACTGTTGTTGATTCAACACTACAGCACAGATATGAGGCCTGATGCCTTCTGAGCCTGACTGTGCCTTCCAGTAACCAGTGCTCAGCCCCAACCAGCTGTAAGAGCAGGAGAGGTGGGAGGGTCTCTGGATGGCTGCAAAAACACGTCTCCTCTGGGAGAGTTCCATCATTAGGTAACTTCAGTAATATTCAGGGACTGAACCTTTTAAATGAAAACATTTCTTACCCTGTTTTCCCCGTGTTTTCCTTCTCCATTCCTGCCCTTTTAAACAGGTAATTACGAGTTCCCAGCAGAATGTGAGTACCTCTAGAAAGCGACTTCAGGAAGATCTTCATCTTCAGAGCTGTGGTGCTCTGAGCTCTCCAGTTGCCTTCTCACGTAGGTCCCATATCACTCGCAGTTTAGAGCGGGACAGGCCACACAGCTTAATCGGAGTTTGCCGGGAGACCATCCTTTGATAATATCCACAGGTATGTGATTCCAGCACAGAGAATTAAGGAAGAAACTGGGACTGGAAGAAGTACAAGTAGTGGATGACTTAAAAAGGAAATAGTGTCTTCCTTTGGAATTCCACTTTTTTCCAACTGCAGGAGGAGAACACCTGTTTTTCTGAATGTAACTTTCAGCCCTGATTTTTGCAAAATTTTAACTGATTTATTAGTAAAGTCATAACAAATGTTTTCCCAACCAGAAATGCGTTTATTTCACTGTACTTACAGAAACGCTACTGATGCTGCGGAGCATTTCATGAAAACCATTACAGAACCGCCAGAGACCGGCTGTACAACTTAAAAGTTGTATTTATTAAATGTACCTCAAAGTGTTTTAACTATGATCAGTGTTTTAATAAAAAGTATTTCTGGACTTTGTTTTTTCTACAGCTGATTTGGATAGGAATGTAAAGGTGATTCATACACACATACAGTGCTGTTTCTAATTCATTCTTCCAGTGTATTTCATGCCAGGCTAACTGATCTGTCCTATAAAAACTGCTCCCCCTCCCCCCCAGTATGCTGCCCTTTTAAATTATAGTAACGGCTGCAGTGTGGTTTCTTTTTGCTTTGTTCTGAATGCTCATGAGTTTATTGATGGAGTAGCGTATGCTATTGAGAACTGATGTTTAAGTACTCTGCAAATTGTGACCAAAGGATGCATTAAGGAAGAAGCCTTTGAAATTCTGCATTTCCAAAAAGCATATTTCACTCCAGTTATTAGTTTTGACAGTTGTGTTACTGAAACATGTCCTTGTGGTTCTGCTGCATTTATGATTTAACATGGATCTTAAAACAAAAAAAAAAAAATCAAAAAGTTAATATTATGACACTACTTTGATTACCAGCATAAACACAGGTCTGCCAGCAACGTCCTCCAGTGCAAGCTTCATCTTGTCTCTCAGAGGAAATTGGAAAAGTCTTAAACAAAAGGTTCTCATAAAGAACCTACCCCAGGTTGCCGTTTCAGGGTTTTAATTTTTTTGCAGCAGTGCTTGTCAGTAGCGTTAGTTTCCATTTGAGGTTTAATCATATACTGGTTTCATTTGTGTCATTCTGAGCTGGGCAGACATCCTGTGAAAAGGTCACAAAGGAATGTAGCTGAAGATGGGTAGTTTAAGTTTTACAGAATCATCCATTTTAATGTATTTTAATTATAGCATGCTTCTGTATTGATGTGACGTTACAGTGACATCCAGTGGCAACACAGTAGGTTAATGGAAAGCATCTATTCTCAAGATAATAATGATACACAAATTCCTAATTCAAGAGATTAATTTCTTTTTTAAAAAATAATTGTGACCTTTGCAACTGCACTTAGATGAAGAATTAAATGATCTTCTACTTGGATCTTTTTATTAGTAGACAAAAACAAAATAAGCGAGCTTCCTTTATTATTTCAGATTTATTAGTGATAATAGGTTAATTCTTTCCTAAGGTCAGTTGCATGCAACACACTACTCCTTGAAGTACAGTCATCTAAAGCTCTTTAGTTACTGCATGGTAAGGCTTCTTAAGTCACAGTGTATTTTCTTCAAGGCCTTGGCCAAAAAAAAAAAATCTAGATGAAAAGTTACACCAATTAACATTTATGTCATAAGGAATACAACTTTACTACTATTTTTTTTTATCTACACACATTCTAATACTGCTGATGGTGCTAGATTATTTGTCAAAACAATTTACATTCAGAACACATTGCCTTAGGAATAAGAATGCTTTATAAAAGACAGAAACAGGTAAGCATGGCTTTCCCATTTTGAGCTAATATAAACAAAAAGGTAATATGCAAAAATTAAAGAAAAAAACCCCCAGCCCAACACATACATTACACAACCTGTGCAATAAGTTATCAATGAAATAACTCTGTTAAATCATAAAAATCACAAGCATTAAAAATAAATATGTATCTAAATAAATATTTTGATTTTAATCTTGTGGCAATTATTCTTTATTTAGCATATGAAACACTTGTTACATGTTTATGTTCACACCTTGCCAAACAGGTTACACTTGTCATAACAATACCAAGTACTACAGTGGTTTTCTTTACATTAGAATCTAAAAGTTTTAACTGCACACATTCCTTTCCACTGAAATACCATCTATTCGGCACCAATTTTAAAATTATGCAAAGCCATCATTATGGGACCACTTTATGGGACTGGGATTTTTTTTTAACTTGAACCAGCCATAACTTTCTCTAATTGCTTCTCTGCCATTGCCTGCAGTCTCATTCATCAAATATTCACATTCACCGTGTTATCAAACAAGACAGACATACATACATCACTCCACATAAAGGTTACAAATAAATATGTTTTAAGTTTTATGAGAAAAGAGTTTAGAAGATGTTGCAAAATACTTAAATGTTTTACAAAGATTTTTGTCAGTGATTATTGTCCTTGACCATCCTTCTCATCACTTTTTGGCAAAGAAATAAAAAGGAAGGAGAGAAAAGGCAGAGACACCTGTCTGCTCCTTGTTTCGGAGTCCTCAGGTCAGCTTCAAAGCCTTCCATTCATACAAAATACAAAATCTCTTCAGCTATGAGGGCTTCAGCTTTGATGGAATCATTTCATTGTTTTGCTGCAAGAGTCGCATGCTAGATGTATAGGGGTGTCTCCTGCCCTGTTAGAAGTCTGAACATGGCGGCTGGCATAGTCTTCATGTGAATCTGTCAATAGATTTACACAGAAATTATCAGCATTGTTACCAGTTTAAAATAATCCATAAGGCCCAGTCTGCCTTTCCCTGGGGTGTAAGTGCCTTTATTTTCCTGGTTTCTATAGATGCGAACGTTACCAAAGTTTTGAGTTCAGAGTTCTCTGGTTGGAACAAGACTCTTTGCTATCTTGTGCTTTTTTTGTTTAGGTTTTGGGGTTTTTTTTAAATGATGACAGGATGCAACATCATACAGCTTAAAAAGACACGTAAGCATTTTCTATTATACCCTACTCGAATTACAGCCCTTAAAAAAGAAGCAGCACAAACCTCTCTGAAAATTCATTCTGCTGTTCTGGTATTAACTGAACTTAGATTTTTCTTCTGTCTTGCCTCCCTGTGGGAATGTAATTTCGTACATATTCTCTCCTAATTGGAGTATGATTCTCTGAACACAAAACTTAGGCTTTATCACCTGGTATTTAAATGCTAGTCAAGAGTTTGGTGAAACAGGTTTTCTCATGGTATTTAAGTTCTTTCTACAAGGAGTACTGTGATGTCAGAGAGATTTTACAGACTAACAGGATTAAAGGCATCAGGTAAGCAGAGTTGTATTAGAACTGTAGTAACAGCTGTAGTACCTATCAGACAATGCAAAAGGAAGGAAGGTAAACTTTACTAACTGATAATACAGACCCTCACCAGCCATATGCTGCCTTGATATCTTGGTCTCTTCATACTGAAAAAAAAAGTTTCATATGCCTCTCATATGTTTATTAAGATGTTACACAGCAAAGAGGTACCATAGAGGCATGGAGGTTCTATTGAAATCTACAGCTTTGTTCATGCCAACATGCACGTGCTCTGTATTATTTTTCAAGTATTATTTTTCACAGGAAAACAAGTTATCCTTGATTTTTGGCAAAGAAAGTAGAGGAAGATCTGGCCTGGGTTGTGTATGATACTTTAACTAAATTTAGAAGGGATTTTAATAAAATGGAGGATGTTATTCATTCAGTGCTGATTTCTCTAAAAGTACCAGAGAGAGATGTCTTAACTTATTCCCAAGGTAAGTTAGAAACGTTCAGTGGAAATAAAATTTTTAAAATCCATATCAATTTCAATCCCTCAGCCCTTTGAATATTAATTTATATCTATGGCAGATGCTGTAGTGATAAACTAAGAGACATTTCATAGTTAACATGTTTGAACAATTTCTTCTCTTAATTGATCGGTTTCATTCAAACATGAAGGTCCAGAATCATGCCAGGAATTCTTGAAAATGAGTGTCAAAGTCCAGTGAGTGTGCATCTAATAGATAAAAAAATGTTCTGTTAATTGTTTGTTATTAGTGCTCAACTCTAAATTACTGAGGTGGTGGTTTCAGTACTGTGTTAAGACATTCTTTTCAACTGAAACATGTATTTTTTCAACAGTTTTAATTCCTTGATAATGTATTTCATTGTTTTCTTACCTCTCCCACTGAATTAGACAATGCTTGTACTATCTTCTCATGAGCAGTAGCAACAACACTTTGTCCATTGATCTCAATAATACGATGTCCTACTCTTACCCCTCCCCTCTCAGCTATTCCACCTCGCATCAAGCTGCAAATCTGCCAAGAGAAAGCAAAGTTTATTAATGTTTAGAAATGTCATAATGTAGCAGGTACTAGAATTTAATACATAATAAGTGGTGACATTGTAAGGATTCCATAAGATACTTGTGAAAGTATTAATTAAGCGATACTGTGACTTTTTAAATGTTGTTTTGGGTCTTTTTCAAAATTTCTGCAAATCAAAATTTTTATATATATTGAAGTATGACAACGTTTCCTGTGCCTCTGCAGGTTGGAAAAGGGCACTCTGCTCTCCAGAGCCACTACTTTTCTCCATGTTTTACAGTGCTGCTGGCCATAGGGAGTTTAGGATGAAGACAGCAAGTCAGGCCACTGTTTCACGTGGCAGCTGTAGGTACCTGTAAAGGACTAGGCACAAGTTTTGACTTTTATGCCTCCTACAATAGAGGAGTAAATCTACAAGAAGTTACATTCACTGTATCAGCATCTGCTGGGACTTAAAAAGTATTCCAAGGTAGCAACATGCATGGTGTACAGGCAGAAAAAAATCTCAATCCAGTATGGAGAATTTAAAAGAATGTTTCTTCCTCAGCCACAGTATCTGTGCTGTGACAGGGCCCTCCCTAACAGCTGTATATTAGAAGAAATGGTTGGTAAATTACCTCAGAAGACTAAACTCATGCAGCACATAGGGCAGTTAATGTATAGCTTCAGTCTCTGTAACTGAGCAGGGTTTAGCAGAGCTGAGATTTACCTTCTGTTTACTGAGAAAAACCTGTTCTCGGAGGAAAAGAAATGAGTGCTAGAGCATCCAGTGATGGCTCTTCCTGCAGTTACTGTCAATGGTTAAAATCATATGCCAAGAATTATTACTTGCTGAGATCTGGTAATTTGCTCAGAGCTAAATAAAAGTATGGTAAGATGTGGCTTGTGTCCCAGTGAGTTTGTAATCTAATTCAGAAACAGCATGTGGGGGAGATGGCTGAGCTGGCGTATACTGAAGGTGAAACGTTGTCTGTGGTTGACCAGAATCTTTTCTGTATGACTGACGCTAGCAGTTCCCTTTAAATTCCTCTTCACAAATAACAGTGCTATAAAAAATGAAATCCCTTCTTACTTGAAGTTCAGTTTGTCTGATACAGGGAGTGAAAAAATATAGTAGTTGTTTATAAAAGGCTTTTCTCAGCCTTAGGAAAAGAAACCTTTCTCCTGCAGTGTGACATCTTCCACCGCGTTATCATTAGTGGCTGAGTTTCACCTACTGTGTTGCATAGTATTTCTCATGGACTTTTGTGGATAGAGGCACCATCAGGACCCTCCACAGAATTGTGTCTTGAATTTCAGTCACATACAATGTATTGTTTTGCAGTTAGTCTACCTTCTAAATATAGCTGACAAGATAAGCTGTACTACATAGATCTTCTCTTTTATAGAAAGCTGCTCAGTTCAAACTCACTGTTACAGTAAGTTTGCTCCTTGTTGTTGGGGATTGCATGCAGTAATCTGAAAGGACAAAAAAGCAAAACGTTCCAAAAGAAACCCTGTAAGTGTATTTTTCACAGTCTAAAAGGAAATGTAGAGGCAGCAGAGCCAGCAGAAGTAAAAGCTTTCAGAGCAAATGGAAATGTGACCTCTCGCCCCACTGCCATAATGGAAAAGATAATGGCTTGCATATCTATCCAGAGCACCTTTCATTGTACGGCTCTCAAAGCACTTTTAATACCATCAGTGAATTTCTTCTTTCTAACAGCCTCAGACATAGGAAGCGGTGTCTTATTTTCATTCAAGAATGTGATCCCTCTCCAGGGAAGGGAGTCAGCTTCCTTTTTTGTGAGCATTAACTATTTTAATGAGGAAGAAAGAGAAACAGACACAGAGCCCGAGTGGCTCTGCCTAGCCTCACAGATCCTGTTAAACTAGAGACAGAGTGCAGATGTAAAGAAATATATGTACTTAAAGCACACATGTACATGGCTCCTATATTTGCAAGTGGCTGACTCAAAGCAGCCTTAAGACTTTTGTCTCCAGCCAGTGGAACTATGGCAGATTAGGCTAGCAAGTTTAAGATGAGAAGTACCACTAAGTAAATATGATTTTACTCAGCCAAGATTGTTGAGCCTGCTATATTTGTTGGACATGAACAGCTGTAATATTAAATAAAGCATGTTGGATCTGGATCTTCATCTAAGCAAGAGCCTATACTCTATTTAGTGTGTAAACTGAAGAAAAAAAAAGGAAAAATAAAAGGTGTAAAGCATATCGCTTCATTCCATTCAGCTGTTACAGATTCTGCAATGTCCTAGACAAGCTGCAGTACCTCAGATGTGAAACTTCAGTAGCTTCACAGTTTTACTGCAGCTGCCCATTGTGTAGCAAAATATTACAGACAGAACAGTGCAAGGCAAATTAGCTATTTATTCCATGTAAATGTCTTAAATATAACCTATTAAACCTGTTATCTCATTCCTATATTAGTCTATTTAAACCCTATATATTTTTTCCCCAGACAGGTTAAATAAATATAAACAAAGGCAGGGAAGGAGGAATAAACTGTCCTGTCTGTTAAATTTCACCTAGTTTTACTGTAGTTTTAGATAGAATTGTGCTAGGCTAGGGATGGGGTACATACACTTCTCAGGCAAAGTGTCTGAGCTCTGAGATCTAGACTGAGAAGTGGTGTATTAGCAGCAGTAAAATTATAACTGGTAATACACAGATTTTTCATAATATAAGGAACAAGATAATGATGTGATATGAGAGGACCACTTGTATTTAAATACCATCATTTTAAAAGAAGTTTAACATGATAATTTTCAGGAGATGGCTGATAGGACACTTATGTTCACCTCCCTATTACACATTCATACTTGTTTCACAGGTATGCACAATATTTCCTTTTTTTTCTTAATGTTTCACAGTTCAAATGTTAGATTCCTTTTGTAAATATGCAATAAAACTACAGCAGTAGCTTTCAAGAGCCATGAAGAATATTTGCAACATTAATGCAAGAAGAATTTTGCAAAATTAACACTCTGATTTATGCTGTTGTGCTGTTCCCTGACTAAAGTAGCGGTCTATGAAACTCCAGGCTTTGCATTAATTAAATTACACATAATACATAAAGAAAGCAGTTACCTGCAACAGCCCAGTCTCTGCATCTTCCTGATACCCTATGCAAGCAATACCCAGCTGAGATAGTACTTTTGTATGTCCAGGTTGTTTATGGGCTATTCAGTAATACAATAGCCGTACATCCTGCACAGATGAGATAGGCAGGGTGAAAAGGAACCATGGTGAAACTGCTATCAGAAGAGGCACAGAAATAAGCACCAGCTGCAGGCATAGTGAGGTAATGGTATAGCAGTAGGAGACATTTAATTATACCTGTTCTGGCAAGCTCTTTATTTTTTCACTGTGCTAACGCTGAGCCAACAAAGAATAAGGATTTTATTTCTGAATCCTGTCATAATTTGTAACAATTGCTGGCAATTACAAAACCACTTTTTAAAAGTTCAGTGTCAAACTACCAGAGAGAGGTACATTGCAGAGTCATATTTTCAGATGTTAAGTGAAGAGAGTTTATCTGAGGAAGGACTTACAGGCCCAGAAGCTTATCTGTATAGCAGCCTAACAAAAGATTAGTTAATGTCTCCTTTTTATCTGTTTGCTTTCATATGCAAACACAGACTCTTCATAAATGAAATGTATTACATTTTGTTATCTGAGAAGGATTTTTATGCTGAATTTGGTAAAATTTATACAGGATGTCATCTAAATGTTGCTCATTTAACTGGAATAAATGATAACCATCCAGTGTGGTGAATATGACAAATGACCAGTAGATGGAGCGAGCATGCTATGGACGAAATCGACCACAGCCTGAAGAATTTACTAAACTAAGACTTCAATTTTGCAGGGGATGATGAGCTGGGACAAGATGAATAGATTGTCTCACAGACTCCATAACTGCCTCTGTCCATGTGAAGACACTTCTAATCCACCTTGGACTGATTCTTTCCCCCCACTAATACTGTGACAGGCCTCCTAAAAGTTACTTGATAAACACACTATAGTATTGCTTATCACTGCACCAGCTGAACATACTAGATTTACAAAGGACAGCAATTAGGAAATGAATCAATGCTTCATATAGTGTTATATGCTGTTCTCAGCACCCTCTGCGAGATCTTGTAAAACCAGATCACATCCCTTTCATCGTTTTTATACCAAGACTTGGGATTTGCTAACACAGACTGAACTACCAACAATAACCATACTCACTTAACATACATGTACACATAGATGAAAGGGGATTGCGCATAGGCAAAGGAGGACAGAAATACACCACACACCTGATTTTTCTGTCTTTTTTTACAGACCTCTCTACTCAAGTGTCAGAGCATTAATCCCAAACGTGACAAATACTTTAAACCTCTGCTTCTAAAGGATGTCAACCTGGGGTAGGTATCACTTCAGAGTTCTTCCAGCTGGACCAAGGCTTGCAGCAGTGTTCTTTATACCAGTCTCTGCTGTGACCACAATGTGATAAGTGATCTTAGGTAGGAACACTTAAAACTTGCAAACAATAATAACAGAGATGGCTAGCAGAGCTGAAAATCCACTAATGAGTTTGCTAAAGCACACTAAGACCCATAAACCATATCCTGCAGTTGTCTGCTACTCTTCCAAGGCTGGCAAAGAGAAATCTGGCAACTTCAGTCGAGTTTCACAGAACAGGGGGCCAAAGCCCACAGGCCTTTGTGATGTGGTCTTCTGTGTGAGCAGCCTGACTATTTTTTTTTCCTAGACTGGAAGAAGAGGTGATGATGATGGTCCTGCACTACAGACAGTCCCTAATGCTAGTATCAGCCCCTAGAAAGGCCAGGTGACTACCTAAGCTAGTTTTATCAGGATTTTGCTTTGGAAAGGTATCAGAGAATGGCTTGGGAAGGAAGGACTACGAGAGGAGGACCCTGAGCTGCACTGGGTAAGTGTTACCTGACACATTCATTCTCCTGTTTGCTGCTTTTATTACAGGAAAACTGCAGCATGCAGAGAAGGTTACCTGGGCCACAACCTGTACAATTTCTTGTAGTGAGAAGTGTTTAGTTTTGATCAGAGGAGGTCACAATTACATTCCCCTGCCCACTACCATGTGATGCAAATAAATTATGCACAGTAGAAGAAAAATTAAGTATCTTGGTATGTGTGTGCTGAAATTTAAAAAAAGAGAAACAGGATCAGAGCTAAGATAAAAATGTTAGAATTGTAAAAACCTGCTTCAGCATAACTGGTTTCCTTGCAATTCTGGCACACTGATGATAGAATGTACATGATTTAGCTGATCTAGATATTGCACCAAACAATCTGTACTGTAAATCTGTGGCTGCATTATGTACGAAGATCTCTTCTTAAGAACAGCAGTACTTGTTCTCCTGGTGATGTCCATTTGCATTATATTATTCAGAGATGTGATTATAAGGTTTTGATTAATTAAGGGATCACAATACAGAAAGTGAGCTCATGTGCAAGGATTTTTTCAGTACTTCAGTATGTTTCTTGAAAGAAAAGAAAACGTAAAAAACCCAACCAAACAAAAACACCAACCTGAAACGATCACCGAACACAGAAACTTACAATTCCATTCTGTACACTGAAGCCCAGCTGGTATTTTAAGTCTGGCCGTTTTATGAGGACAGTAGTAACAGGAGGACAGCTGACAATGTTCAGTTTGACTTGTGTCTGATTCTTGAGACCCTGTAAGATATTCCAACAGTTAGTATTTCTGAAATGGATCTTAATTTGCTCTTTTATTAGTGGTTTTCTACATGCAAGAGCATAAAGCAGCTGATTTGAGAAGTAACAGCTGGAGTTAATAGAAATCTGTTGTTAACCTAGAGATACATTTCTCTGTTTCATTTATTTCCTAAGCTATTTGGCCAAAGAAAACATATTGGAACGTTGCCTTTAATTACTATAGAAACTTTAAGAAAGTTTTCAGGAAAACCCAAAGCTGACTCCTGCTTGCCTTTTACCAGCATCTGACTAATTAACCTCGTGCTGCCGCTGCTCTTGGTAAATCTGCAAGATTAGATTTAGTCTCAGTGATTAAAGATAATGCATTTTGAGATTCCATCGTGTCTGGGGAATCTTCATTATAGTCACTAGTAGGTTTTAGTCCTCAGATTTTAATTTGGAGGCTGTGGGGAAGCCTGACACTTTGAAGTTAGCTAAGTGACTTAATTTAGGCTAGTTTTTCACACCTGGCCTTGTTTATTATAGTATAGTAACCAGTCAAATTGCTCAGCCCTAAATTTCTGTACATTATAAGCTCTGAATATCTGTTTCTGATTCTACTTTTTGTTAATGACAGATTACTTTTTTTTTTTTTTTTCCCAGTGATATGGAAAATTGTATCTGCTGGAAATCTACAGGGCCACTTGCCTGATTATTACATCTCTGCTGCCTTACAGTCTACAGCATATAGTTGTAAATTTGGGGTACCTTTATGATCCCTTGGCACGTTGCAAGAGGTAGGCCAACTAAACTGGTCCCATTAATGGACATAATTTGGTCTCCAATGCTTAGTTTTCCTGAACGGGCTGCAGGGCCTCCATTCATCATGTTAGCCAGGATAACGGTGGGTAGAATGGATCCCCATCCAGATTCCACAATCACTACCCCAAGAATTTCTCCCTTTTGTTTTTCTAGCTGGAGCTGCAATTAAAAAGGAAAAAAAAAAAAAAACCCCACACATTTTTTGCTTTGATTCATCTAAATTTGAGCACTAGCATCTCAGTTGTTCTGAATAACACTTATAAATTACAAAAATAATAGTATTCTTTGCTATTAGGTAGTAGCATGACTTCAAAAATACTGTTAAAACCGTATAACACGTACCTATTTCTTTTCAGAGGTATCCTCCACTTGTTTGTTGAAGGTCATATAGGTCCTTATAGTAAGCAAAAAACTAACACATGGGTTAACTCTACAGAAAGTGGTGGAAGGGAATACCAAATGAATGCCAAGTTTTTGTCCTTTGTGGAACCTATCAGCTAGGGATGACTGTAACATTTTGTGGTTAGGGCAATGCCTGGGACAGAGGCTGGAGTTCAGCTCTACTTCTGCCATCACTGTCCAGGTTGTCTCTTGGTCTCAGGGTTTGTCCATCGTTATTTTCAGGCAAGGATCTCTCCATTATTGTTGTTATTATTAACATTAATGAATATACTTGTGCCTAGCATGTTAATCTAAGATCCCTGATGTGCTGATATACATGATGTCTGCTCCTCACATACGGTGATGTTAACTGTTCAGTAACCATAGCATATCTAACTTTCACAGAAGAGGAGTAAGAGTTTAGGTAGAGAACTCACTCCCAAAGTACTGGGAATTATTTCTTTCATATGTAAAGAAGAGGGACACCCATACTTATGGGAATCATGAAGTATTTTGTCGTGCTTATATGCACATGAAAACACTTTATTGATACCTAGTGGCTGCAACATAAAAACCTACACATCAAATCATAACCTTTCTACCTGTAGGTATAGGTGAAAAATGTTCTCTTCCCAGGAACACATATACTGTACAAAAGAACCTGTAATGCTAGAAGAAATTAATATAAGTAGGAAAGCTGTGATTGAAGGATTAAGCAATTTGCAGTTCATTTCAGAATAAAATTGCTTTCAGACTCAGCATAGAAACTGTGACCTTTGGAACATGGGCCAAATCCTTATCACACTGCAGCAATAAAGCAGAAATAAAGCAACAGAGGAGAATCTGGGTACAACTGCACTCATCACATTCTGATTTGGAATTTCCAGTATTACAGTGACTTTTGTATGAAATGTAAAATGTGAAATATATGGCTGTTCTACAGAAAGAATATGTTACATCCAAAATCAAATTTGGGGCGTTAAGGAAAATTCTTGCCTTTTCAGGCATTATGAGTGTGAAACTGCATTTCATATGTCAGTTTTGATGGTGTTCTAATGGGGGAAGAGAAATTGGCCTGCCCGGTGCCCTAGAATCATGGACTCATGGTCCTTGCATCTATTAAGTAAGAAATCACTTACTACGTGCATTAAAATGGATTGTCATCTCTATTTCTGTATCAATACATTGGTAAAACAAAAACACCTCACATTGTGTAATGTGAATAGCACAGAGTTTATCTATGTCAGATGTAAATGTACTTTATTACTGGTTTGATCAATGGAAGCATAAAGAAATTAAATGAAGAAATTGTAAAAAATTTATAAAACTGATTTTAGTAACACAGTATTAATGAAGCAACACATCTTGTGATGTAAAGTCATCCTTAAATCCTTAAAATGCTGATACTTCCATGAGAACTACATTCCTCTGAAAAAAATGGATCAATCTGAAATGAAATTCCAGAACTAGTTTACCTCTTTGCAGTTTTCTGAATTGGAAAAGTGTATGAGATCATCATTGTACATCTCTTGGGTATTGATGATATCACTGTACTCTTTCTGACTGAGATCCTCTGGGTTAATTCCATTGGCTCTTAAAAACTCCTGGTAAGCCACACTGAAGGCCTGACCAATTGATTGAGCTATCAGCTGTGCCTAGAATGTAGAACAAAACACAGCTGAGAGAAAGGACTGATCAACAGTTTACCACTGATACCATAAGAAAACAGAGAGACTGGATTTTAAGAGAGAGTCAAAATAAAGGATTCTGCAAAGTTGCCGCATTAGTATGGCTATAAAGTCACTTTAAGGTCAGTTATACAGAAAGAATCTGTTGCATCCAAAATCAGTTTGCAATCACCATTTAAAAACCCTACTGATCTCCTTTCATCAGTACGTTGCAGTAGCAAGCAGCCATATGCTATCTAGGTACTCGTTCCAATAAACACTGGAGAGTACTGGCTTTGTACCAGTATGGAACAGAGCTTACAGAAGAGGCTGTCACAAACCTTACTTCTGATCACAGTATATTTGCAGGAGTGATGAGAGACCGGACACTCTGCGTGCACATGCCTTCACAGACATGGGTGCATTGACGATTTTAGTTGTGTCCACCTGCTGCTTCTCCACCTTGATTTTATAGGACTGAAAAGACTGCTTCAGCAAAACCATCTGCTCTCCTATTAATGCCATGATACCTGTCTCATATTCCTAGCAGAATAGTAATAGTCCTGCTTACCCATCGCACATCTCTAACAGTTATTCCCATTAACACCTTCTAGCCACGTCAGCAATGCTCTCAAGAATGCAGAGAGGGCCATGATTATACCTTGTTAATGTTAAGAAGAACTCTTCAAAATCCTCTGTGTCTTTATTAATTTTTGAAGCACTTATCTGTGCAAGCCTTTTGCTACAGTCTGCAATAAGAGATGCCTTCCCATTACAGTGGGCTGTACAATGAATACTATTAATGAAACATGACAGTGACTGGTATTTGGATGTGTCAAATATATACACAATAGAAAAAAATCTACAGAAACCCACGATGCTGATAATACTAACAATTTTGCACAGCAGAAGTCAAAGAATTACTGGACCACCATAAAATTCACTGTCTTGTTCCACTAGATGGCAGTGGAACACAGAGAAACAGAGGTAGAGATACGTAAAAGGAATTTGTAATCAACTATTTCTACACTTGAAATGTATTTCATTTTCCTGTTCTGAGTTTACTGCAGCTCACAGGAGAATGCCACATTGAGTTTCGTATATTTGTGGTTTTCAGGTACTGTATTCTGTCATCAGGGGATACAAGTAACTCCCAGTGATCTGAGGAGGAGTTAATTGTATACAACGTAACTCCCTGACATTATTACTAATCACATTTATAAAACTATTCTGGAAATGCAACACACTTTCTTGGACAATTAGGTACATGCTAAATGCATTATGAATGCATAGGTTTTCTGGACAACATTGTAAATCTAAATCTTCTTGCAGTCTACCAGATACACAGTGTTTTCTTTGATGCTATTATAAAAGGTGGTTTTCTTATTTCATTTGTGCTGCAGTACACAAAAGCACTGATCTGCTTGACTGGAAAATGATTTTAGAAAAGCAAGGACATAATTAGCCTAGTCAGTCCAAATCATTCCTTCATATTTTAAAACACCTTTTCAAATATTATTGCTATATCAAGAGGTTTGTAGTAGTACAGAAGTAATCAAGAATGTTTTTATATTGTTCCATTATTAAAGTTTATCACCAGTCCTTACTGACTTCTTGTTTTCCATCTCCAGTGCCATTGCTTTCACTGTAGTTAGTTCTTTGCTTCTATTCTCAAAACCAACATGTCTAGATGTCATATTCTATTACTGCTAGTAACTGCCAGTTCTCACATTGCAATTTCATCTATATCTCCAAGTTTTAATGAGTGTTTGAAAGTCTTCAGCATTACGTACCACTTAGAGATGTAATTAAGTTGCTTGAAAACATCACCCCAGCAAAGCAGTAGCAGAGCTGAGATAACTTGGTCTGAGAACAATCCCAGACTAGCACTCTAACCTTTAGACAATGCCATTTCTCTTTCACAGGCTTAATTGCTTTAAAATAATGAAAATGATTGCCTACCTCAAAAAATATGCAACCTGTGAGTTAATGACTGTCTGAACAGAGCAACTCAATTCTTTTTTTAACTGGTATGACAGAAATGATACTTAAAGTTGTTCCTATAGATCGATGGTCAGAAATGTTTAGTGCTGCCTCTTTACTAATACCTGTATCTCAACTGTCAACTTAGAAACAGACAAATATTTTTCTTCTGTTTTGCTAGCTTGGTATTTTTTTCCATAAATGTTTTAGGTAGAAGTCCCCTGGTCTGCCACTTCAGATACAAATACCAATTTCACCACAAAACCAAACCTGAATATCCAGTAGCAGAAAAGCAAGGTTATCTTCCTTTGCCACAAGAGGTAAGAGCATGGCAGGCCAGCACTTTTCACAGGGGTGAAACATGATGCAGCAGAGATATACAGAACTCTTTTGCAACCACTACTTCTGCAATCCTACTTTGAGAACAGTTCCAAGTTCTTTCATCTTTTGGTATTTCTGATGCAAGTGAAAATTAGAATCTAAACTCTGAAGTAGTCGCTCCTTTTTTAAACAGAATTTTAACAAAAAGTGGTTTAAGGCTAATATGGTATTGGATCTCAGAGTATCTTCTAGCATTAAATGACTGAAATTATGCTTTCTGTTGTACAGATGTTCTGAGAGTAGTGAGAGTGAGTTCTTCTTAGCCTTTTACTTAAGAAATGCTAAACTCTTCTGGTTGTGAAGAAAAATTTCTTATAAATACAGAGAACTAAACTTTCTTAGCTCTATTACTTTTATATAAAAATTCTAATTCATAATCTTTGCTAGTGATGAAAAAAAAAAAAAAAGAGAACTGAAAAAAAACATCTGAATGTGTTCTTAAACATCATAGGATCAATTCATATGTTTGAGAGTACATATACCACTACAGGTAAGTAAGCTGTAAGGGAATAAGGTCTGGGTAGAGGGCAACCTTGTGCCAGGCACATCAAGTTGGTAGATGCTCTTAGCAACTTTGCTTCAGTTTGAAAGTGGTCCAGAACGGTTCCAGCCAAGTGTCTGCAGGCCATATGTCTATCATTATGTGCCAACTCACTGGACTAAAGGATCCAATCCAGGATGAATGATCAGTTTGATATCCCATAAATTAATTTTGGCCATAAATGGCCATTGGATTCTAGGCAACTTCATGTAATTACTCACTAAAGCATTTGGGGAAGCATTGTTGAAAGAACACAAATGATTCTGTAACACATGAGACAAACAGTGGACATCTTGGGACTGAGGAGGAGACGTGAATTCATGACATGAATTTGTGGAGAGAGAAAAGAGATATGAATAAGGACAACAACTGGCTAATGTTTCCACAGATTACCTGTAGCTTCAATCAGAAAAAATTACTGACAACAAAAATTGATTCAAGAAATAAGATGTAATTTCAGAGATTCTCTAAATGACATAGGTTGTTTAAATAAATTTAATTCCATTTACTTACATCCTCTGATTCAAAGACATGGCATATCATTTTGTACTGTTTCTTTCCTTCCTGGGCACCAGGTGTTGTTTCAATACAGTCTTGAGAAGCTGATCTTGGCATGCGTCGTCGTGCCATTAAAACCACAATGTTACCTATATCGGCAATATATGAGATTGTGCGCAGTGCATGATCCATCATTGTTTCCTACACAGAGCAAAAAGAAATAAAGTCATTCTTCATGCCTGCTGTTGTTCTACAAATGCTGTATCTTCCCTCTCATTGATGGCCTACTGCTTGAGAATGACAAAACCTACAGACAATGGCCCAGATCTGACATTCCCTACACAGACAATGGGCCTGAACTCCAACTGAAGGCATAGTGGCTGTTTAAGAAATTGGCTTCAATGAAAGCGTTGCCTGAGCAAATGCAACATGGTTGCTACTGTAAAGCAAGAATGAGGATCTATACTAATGTTTTATGGACATTTTCATGCTGTTGGAAAACTTTCTTTCCCTTTAGTATTCATTTTGCTGAATGAAGCAGATGCATTTCACAGTAACAGAACAAGTGTTATGGAAGTCATATCTATATATATGAGAAGATGTTATAATTTCCCAAATTTTTTTTAATTATGACCTATAATAACCATAATATCTAAGGTAACATTTTCTGATACACAACAAAACGATACTTACTTCCTTTGTAAAGAGCTATGAAGGCAGTATGTCACCTCCTCTGTATACAGAATTTTTAATACTGTATTCTGGCTACCTATGTAGATCAGTTTGGAGTGAAATAATCTAGGGACTGGGCTCACCATCAAAATCCTATTCTGGTCAATGTCATTAGGCTGCCAATTTGGTTGTGCTAGAACTCGGCTCCAGAGCTGCTGCTTTTGAGAATGATTTTAAGTGGAAACCTGTCCAAGCTTCATCCTAATGAACATTTCTTACGTAATAACACATGAAGAGTACTAAATATAAAAAGCCTCTATCTCAAATCCCTGAAGCCTGCATCCTTTTAATTACTTTAGCCTTTTAAACTCTTATTTTACTTTCTGCTATTTCTGCTACTTTCAATTGTTTTTCTCACAGGGATATATCATTATTCAGTGGCTTTGATTACATACTGAGTTGCCTTGGACACACAAAAACTGAGTGCATATTTGTAGCCAGAAAAGAGTATGTTGTCACTAAACTTGGTTTATTTCAGATATTACTATTTTATCTTTTGTTTCCATCTCCAGTTCATGCTTCTATCAATTGTGTCTTATATAAAAGAGGAAAGAAGTCCCAGAAGGAAGAATCTTCAAGGACATTGTTTATAACAGTTTCTGTGCACTGCTAAGTATGAATGTGTAGTAAGTTTTATTACTTCTGAACTCAGCATTAAGTATGAATAAATTAATGTGGCTCAACAGCTAGCAGTCTCATTTTCATTAAAAGGTTTCTATATGTAAAATGATGTTGTTTTAATAAAACAATTATATGACATTGCTACAGTGATTATTTCAAAGCATTTTGATATATTTAGGACTGCAAAGACAAAGAATGATATACTAGTTTACAGTGATGTTTTAGACAATCATTTGTACATTCACACAGGTTTTATTCAAGCTACTCTATAAGCAACCTGATTTCTCCTTTAGGATTTTTTTTAAATAAAAATTAAAAAAGCCACAACTTTTCTAAGTTCCCAGAAAGGTATGTTGCTATGGAAGATGTTCCATAATGGTAAGAACCTTTTAGGTTTAAAATGAGAGTCTTGGGAATGCTCATGCAATCAAGTGATATGATTGACTGGACTGATTGACTGTACTTCCTTTAAGTGCCTTGAAAAGAATCACTATTACTGAAGTCTGTATAATTACAGAGGAAGAGAAATTCCTAGGGAAAAAAAAATAACTTATGTTAGTAATGCTTATCTGGCAGATATTTTGACAATTAAGACAAAATATCAGAAAAAGCCTCCTAGCTCTAAGGATCTATAGAAACCAGAAAACAGTATTTTAAGGCAGTGATGATTTACAGTTTTTCCTGAGGAAATATTCAAGGACTGTATGTTGTTTTTCACTACATGACTATGTTGTCCCTCCTCACCCCCCTGCTGCCCACATATCACCATCTGATTTGAGGTGCTTGTCCTCTGAACTTGGAGCAATCAGCCGTTGCTCCTTCTCAGCTTCAGTCAAAGCCAGACTCTGCTTTGCCCTAATGTGAGTTAAACACCTGTGTCCTGTTACAGTGGTCACACGATGTGTGCCGCTCTTGCATGACGAAGAGGAGACGGCAGGAGGCTCTGGAGAGGTAATTTCAATAGCAGGCTGCCAGAGTAATTAATGCAGCTCTCAGACATGGCTGGTGTGCTGTACTGAATCCAATCTGTTGTCATTGGTTGAACACCCCCATTTTAAGGCAAAAATTAGTCCAAATCCTATTTTTATGGGACATTTCAAAACTGAGTTCTATACGTTTCTTAAATTGGATGCTGTCTACTTTAAAACTTTATGCTAGGTACTATTTTAATTAAGATAAAGCTTTCTATTGAAACAAAGGCCAAGAAAGTGCCTCCAAACCATGCTTTGTTAGCTATCATTTCTTTACATATATTTTTGTTGTAGAGATGAACTGTTCTCTTCTTCAAGAAACAGAAAAGGCCCATCTGAAAATTCCTTCTTTCTGGGGTCATTGGTCAGTTTGGAGGGTTTTCCAGACTTTCATTTATTGCTCAAACTGGAAGCAACCAGAAGTATAATAGTTTTATTGATCAGACTAGCTGAGGATGTCCCCTTCCCCCACCTCCCCGAGCAGCTGAAAATATCCACCAAATTCTGCCTGAATTGGAATAAAAAAATACTTATTACTGAATCAATTTGTTTCATTTTACTTTGTGATCTCTATTAGTTTTAAGTCAGTAAATTTCTTTCTGATGTCTAAAATACCTTTAGTTCTTGTCCAAGACTGAGGTTGTCCTTGCTGCTTTTGGCATCTGCTTGGATATATATGTGACTATTTCTAATGTGAGCAAAGACAAATTGACTACAGGCTTGTTGTTTGTTTGGAGTTCTTGTTTAACCAAGAAGGCCTTCTGGTTTTCTTTTTTTTTTTTTCGCTTTTGATTAATTTGCTAGTGGCTGTTCATAGGTATTAGAATATCACACGTGAGCAGCATGAGGTCAGTTTTCATCTAAACTGAGATACCTTCCTTGCTGTGTCTGTAGTGGCAGGGTTTCCCTTGATACCTGATCTTCCAAAAAAACCTATAATGTGGTATGAGATAATACACAGTTCTCTTCATTTCTGTCAGCAGCTATATCCTTTATATAAACAGCTAGGTATTAATTTACCATTAGTTGAACAAATCTCTAAGGCCTAAGAGAGAAAGATTGTTCTTCAAGTTGACAAGAGTAATTGTTTTAAGAATTTCAGTACAATTTAACTCGACAGAGAGGGAAAAATATAAATAATTATTGTTTCTTAGGACCACTTGTCTTACTGAAGAGAATCACTACCCATAAAATTATTGTAATGATTCTTCTCAGGCTTGAAATAAAATGTTTTGTGCTTATCCCTAAACTATGAAAAGTTATGATGGTTAAGAGATGGTTGCAGGGGCTCAGGAGGATTTATAGCACTTCTGTCAGTATGGAAAAATATTAAGGTTTTTTGTATTTTCCCTTTGTAGGGGTGAAAGCAGTCACTCCCTCACTCCCTCCCACATTTTTCCTGTCTAATGCAATTACAATCAGGAATAAGGCAAATAATATATAGTGACTGTAAACATCTCTCTACTTTTGACTTACTTGTGACTTGAATTTTTCCTTTCTCAGTCCATATTCCACTCCACTCTATTTTCCATTACCATTATCTTATTTTCACCCTCTCGCCTCTTTTGGTACTTTCCTATTAACCTCTCCATCTCTGCCTATCTGCTTCTCTATTCTTTCCCTCATCCCTTCTCCAGTCCCATCCACTCCATCCTTGCTATTCCTGTATTTGTCCTTAGAAATTCAGCCTCTCTCTTGGCCTTTTTCAAAACCCCTGTTCTATCTTTTGCTGTCCACATTCCCCTTTCTCAGAATCACCCTTCTTTTCTAAGGAACTTTGAGAGTCCTGTTTGTTGTCCCTTTTGAAACCCAAAGAACACCTGAAGGAGGAAAATCTAAGCATTTTTTCAAGCTTTCAAGTTATGTAGTCCCGTGGGAGTGTGCATTAGAGAGCCTAAGTCGTCAGGCGATTTTATGGAACCAGTCATCTACCAGAGGCTCCGCACATACACATTTGTGACCTCTATATCTTTCTCTGGTAGTTCTCCCAGTTGCTTCACTTCCAGCTTCTCTTCACCGAATGAGGAAGAAGATGGGAGAGACTGCTGTGATATTTCTGCTGATTTTGTGCACTGACTGCAAGCCCATAAAGCTGCAGCGCAGGGAACAATATAGCTGTCACACAGGCAGGCATGTGGCCAAACGTAAGGTTGCTTCTACCACATATACTAAACAGGTGGTCAGCTTGGGCTGAATGTATTCAGTAACTAAATGCAGAAGCAACTAAAAAGTGGCAGGGGTGCGATTTGCTAGTGTTGCTGAGGGCAACAGAATCACCAGAGCTGGCTCTGTTCCAACATGGCAATACACCTTACCCGTGCTACTCAGCATTTTGAACCCTGCTGCATGTCATTTTTTAATGGAGAATTTTACATTGTAAATCAGCTGCTACCTCATGTGAACTATACAATGCTACAGATGGATTAAAACATGGATGGCATACTGCAGAAATAGGTTTTATATAATTGATTATGCCATGCAAGAACAGATTGTCTCTGCCAGCTGCCACACCAGCTGAAACAAACCTATGGTGATTACACCCGTCAGGAAATTCACTAGCACTGAAAAATATTACCAAGCTAAAAATGCAAAGGCGTGCCAACAGCAATGCTAAAAAGTCATGGGAATAAGTCATGGGAATAATAATTAATAATTTACCTTAGGCAAAGAGGATGGTAGCTCAGATGTGATTTATGGAAAATTAGGTGGTTAAATGTTAAAAATGGCAAGATATGTATAGCTTAAAGTAGCAAATGACTTCCCTGTTAGACTGTAAATTTGGGTACTGAAACTGTTTCAGAGAAACAGCATACATGCATTCTGAAAGACTTTTGAATCTTCTCCTAAATTGAATTATAGACCTCAGCAACACGCAGACATTTTCCAATACATCAAACAAGCAAAACTGTTGTCAGTATTGCTATATTGGCAAATGCGTTACAACAGTAGCAGATCTAACACTGTTCTTTCTGAATATTCTCACAATAGTGAATTTATCAAATTTAGTAAAGTTACCTACTAACAATATAAGAGCGCAGTCTAACTCAACATTGTTCTTGAAGAATTTTAATCATAACTTACCTGTGTGTCTGCATTTAAAACTTTGATTCTCTGTGTGGAGATGAACAGATCCACTTCAGTCAAGGCCTGGGAATCTCCCTCTGAAGTCTAAAAGACAGATGCTTTGTTACAAGGGGAATTTTAATTTCCTTTTTAGAATGACAGATTCACTGATCACTTCAAGCATAATGTGATGTGAGGCAATCACACTGTTAAATCACTACAAAGACGGCTATTCAAAGGTGTTTCTAAATACATGCAAAGAATGCATTTATTGCATGGAAAGAGTGAAGCATACTCTGATTTTGTGGGTGAGTGAATTTTCAGAGCCCATGGGACTGACAGCTCCTGTACTAAAATTTGCTATTTATAGCCAGAACAGGAGAAAGAGTATGCCTGTTTCTTCCCCACTGTCTCATCGATGCACTTCAGTACTTGAGGCACCAGAATTGAGAAAGTAGGGGAATTTAGAAAGTGACTTACCCCCCATCAGCTGCTTAGCCCTTGCCATCTTCACCAAAAAAAAAGTGCAAACTGGTGCTCAGTACTGTGGATGGGTGGGTTTTAGGAGTTTTTTAGATTTTTAGTTTAGTTTCTTCCTAGAAAATAAAGAACTGAGTACTGAACTAATATTTCTTCATATTACAGAAAGCCATCAGCTGACTTTCAGATCTCAACTTCTGAGCACTGCTCACTAGGAAATCAGTTCCATAACCCATGAGAAAACATGGTCATGGAGCAAGGAGGATTACAGTGTAATGCCTAAGTGTGAGTCCTGGCTCTGTCCACGTGAGAAACAGGAGAGAAAGTGCCAAAGCAGCTGCTACCTCTCACTGAAGCATCACCCAAGAGCTCGCCTAATACTCTGAGTTCCAGGAGGAATCTATTTATTCCTCCAGGCTACTTGTTCACAGTGCACTATTGCAACTGGTATTTAGCAGCACCCATGTTAGCAGTCTCAGATTAAAATAGCCACAGGCCTTATCACCCTGTGCTAAAGGCAGGCATCAGTCTGCAGGTCAGAGACCAGTTCTTTGATGGAACAGTACAAGGAAGAATGATGTATTTGCTGCTCTTTTTTGTAGTTATAAAGGCTTAACTATGCCTATAATTCATTCAGATCTTTTTTTTTTAATTAAATCTCATCCAGAAAAATACAAAGCAAGCACATACTCTGGCAGAGGTTACTTGCATTGCTTTCATCTAAAACCATCACAAAGAGCAAGGCTAAGTTTAGTGATTATTTTTGTCAGCTGTATTTAGTTAACTGTAATATAGTTTTTAACGGAGTGAAATGTCTCCTCTATGAATTGTTCCAGCTACTACTGCTAAATTTATTTTATTTGTTTTTAAATATTAACAATAATTTAATAAATATACAGTAGGTCACAGACAGAGGAAATACATCTTACTGGTTTGCTTGGTAAAATAATAATAAGCATTACATTTTAAAAAATGTCCCTGATAACATTGGCTGTATATCTGGACTAAACAAATCAGAGGTATTCAATGGAAGAAGTGCAGAAGACAGGCACTCCAGCAAATGAAAAATGAAGAAAATGAATTAATTTTATTCTATCCAGTGTTCTACTACCTAACAAAGAAGAAACCAAAATCACAGATTTATGAGAACCCATAATGAAAGACACAACACTCCATGGAGAACAGGTACAACAAAAATGTAAGTAAACATTAGCATTCAAGAAAAACAGTTTACACACCGCTTTTTTCTTGATTTTAGCCGCCTTTTGCATCCTCTGAAGAGTAGCATAAAAAAAAGAATGCAGACAGATGTATACACAAAGGAAGAGAAAAGACAGTGTGGAAAGTCAGGGAAAACTTCTGAATATGAATCCAGACTTAAAAATTTGGGAGCAGTGGGAGAATGATGTGCAAGAAAGAAAGATTTGTTTATATCAAGCATAATTAGATTTAATGGTATTATGCATGTTGTTGATTACAAAAAAATTGGTACCAAAGAGTGTTGTCTGTTAAAGCTGCTCATAACATTTATACTGCTAAATATACAGCAGTCTAAAATGACAGTACATGCACTATTTTAAAGCCAAGGTTTTCTATCCATATTAATCATACATCTACATGTAATTGTTAAACAAAATGTAACTCAGGCTCTTTTCCATGACTGTCTGAAGTAGTCGTGTATTCCTGACAAATTAGGATTGCTATTAATACACTAAACATTTTTTAGGAAGTTAATTGCAATCGATGATTACTTACTGCTTGAGACAATACAGTATGTTACATAGAAATTCAAGGGTTTGGAAAGTTTAAAGAACTGGACCTTTCTTGCTTTTATTTTGTTTCTAAATGCCAAATCAATCATCAGTCGTGACAATCTCTTGTGAAGTACATTATTTTCCCCAACCAGTTTCCTTCAAAAACATGCAATTTTTAACAATTAAATATTTTGTTAACTAAGCACGTAATTTTTCTATTAGCATTTATATCTACCTCTTTCTAACCATGTGTTTATTCAGACGAGGTATTTACAGCCGATCCACAAAAAAAATGGAAAAGAAAAATCTCCTATTTGAATTATTAACCAAAAAAAGCAACTTTTTTAAATGCAACTGTATGAAGCAGTCTATGGTACATTATTTACACAGAAATTGTTCACTGTAAATAACACCAAATCCAAACGCAATAGTAATGAATCTTCTTGTCCTAAAAAAATAATAATTCGATATATTGAGAGTAATCTTCACAATTCATAGTAAGTTGTAGGAATAAATGACGTAAGAGGAAAAAACCAGTTTAAAAAATATGCTGTGCTTTGACAATGAAATATTTCTCAATTGCAATCTGGAATTTAATAATTGAATTCTTCATACAGCTTCCAAACAATTTTGAATAGACTCTAGAATAATTTATATTTTGCTACTCAGAGATGCTCTATGTATTTTCAAATTAAGCACTGGAAACTAATGGTATTTACAGTACTAGATGTACACTCACATAAGTGTACTTCAGAATAGGTTTGAAGCTACAGAGCCTGTACTGTTTAGAGATCAACTGTCAAAGGATCAGAGAGTATTCTACAAACCATAAAAATCCCCTACCTTAACACGGCTCACTGCCTCTTGGGCCTGCATCATTCTTATGTTTTTAGAAGGGTTGCGCTCAGAAAGGAGCTGTGTAGAGCCCAGATAATTGGCTGCAAAGATGATCCCATCAATGAGGTCTTCAGGTTCACAAGGTCCTGGAACTGATACGAGACATTTACAGTTACTGCCTTTCAAAAGAGGATGGAGAGATGAGAAATTGAATAAAAGATATTGAAGCTTCAACAACCTTTTAAATACATCTTCTAATATGAAACAGGTGAAAAAATCAAGTGCAAAATAAATTATGTTTTTTCCCTATATTTTTTTTTTTTAAAATTTATTACCAAACATACAGTATTTAAAATTGTATATTGGTTTGACTGTAGAATTCTAGTCGACAATCACTGGAAAATTCTTGCTGTGCTGCACTGATAAACACATTGGAATTATTTGCAAGTTTCAGAAATGCTGATAGGTTTCTTTATCATAACTTTCTTACTATTAATATGTATGACTATTGCAGTGCACAGATTTGTGTTTCCACATTTGTTTGACATGTTTGTAGAAGTACAGAGGCCCCAGACAATATCTCTGTCAGAAATGCTGATGAACAATAGGCACAAAGGTGAACTTTGCTTCAGCAGAAGTCCACCATGAAACAACATCTAAGAAAGTTTAGGAAACAAGAAAAGTAGGCATCTTGATGCTGTTTAGTCATGTGTAAGGCCTGAATTCAGACTTATAGAAAAATACAGTTCCCAGGCTGGTACAGACTGTATAAAATGAGAGCTGGAGAAACATGCTTCAGTGCAGGAGTTCAAGAAAATGTTCATGGTCTAATCAATAGCATCTGCACAGCAGGTCACACAGCCTTTTCCTCTGAAAACAGGGAATTCACACAAGGCAGTTATGGAGAAGGAGTGCATGGAAAGAGTATGAAAAATTTCATGTTAAAAAAAAGAGGAAAATAGTGGAACATAAAAATGTGATATTGATATAATTTTTACCATTCGTTCAACCAAATGCCTTTGTTGAGTATTAATTATATTAATACTATTAATTACATTAATACTTAGTATTAATTACATAGTAACTTTGGTGAGATTCTAACATTAAGTTGTATTTTGCAAGTTGTTTATTTCCAAGGATGAAAAAGGGGGAAGGAAGAACAGAACGAAGGGTGGTATTTATATCATAATGGGACTATGCTCATCATCCTCATTATTCAGCTGTTAAACTTTACATCTGACTTGATTAGATTAACAGTAAAGAACAGTCATTCCAGAGTTTGGCTGAAATCTCTCAACAGTGAATATTTTCTGTTCTTCAACAGTTTTATAAAAGAAATTTGCTTTGAGCTGTATCAACTTGCCAAGCTGCTAACACATTTTTTTGAAGTATATCAATCTCATGAGTGAGAAGAAAAATGACACTGAAAGGAGATGTTAATTTTTAAAAAAGGTTTTCTTGTGCAGTTGATTAGTTCAATTTTTTATAATCAATTGAATGTGGAAGATTAATACGTGGAGAAGGAAAAATACATAGCATGTTATGCTGATGGAATTTACTGAAATAGTGGTTCGCATATATATCTTTCAATGAGTGTTCCTATCCTTCTTTTTCCCATTCTAATTTAGAAAATGTCTTCCAACAGAAAATAAACCTGATTAAAAGAAGATACTTTCTTCTTCTTCAAGGAATCTTGCTGACACTTATACTTTCATGAAGACTTCACATTTGCCTGCTGGAAATCACAACTCCCAGAAAAAAAACCCACAGTCTTTATAATTCAGTAATCAAAGTATATAAACACATATATATATATTTATACCAGTCCTACAGTCTTCAGAGACTTAATATTAACTAGCAATGCTCATGCAAAATGGAGCTATTTGTTTTGCTAGCAAACACTGTAGATTCAAGCTTTGAGATTATTATATACCACAGGAGGACACATTTTGCTTTAGATCACATCTGTACAAATCCTGTAATGGTTTGGATCTTCATTACAACTCAGAATAGAATTCTGTGGAATTTAAAATTCTCGAAGTATTGCCAAAGAATAAAAATATACCATGGCAATCTCCACTGAAAGTGTGAAAACCCTCAATTAAATACTTGGAAAGCTACTAATTTAAAAACTCTTCATGAAGGCCAAGTCTTTCAACACCTTGTTCCTTGTTCCTGCAGCAATAATTCATTGAATGAAATCAAAGAAAATGAAAATTCCACAAAAACTCAATTTACTGTATCTCTGTTCCTCTTTGCTTACATATTTGCACCATTACATTTTTCAGCACAAAGATGATATATTTTATATGGTACCTCTTCTGATGCTGTCATTCATACATCTTTTCAGTCCTAAATCTTACTCTTACACGTACATCTGTACTTCTTTCAGCATGCAACAAAATATTAATGTTGCATCCTACTGACATCTTGTTTCAAGCGTAGCAAATAAGGAAATTAATTAAAGATGTGACTTTAATGTCAAGTTAGCAAAACTTCATTAGATACCTGCAGTAACATACTTTAATTGACTTTAATTTTGTTTTCCTTCATTCACTTCAGGCTAAGTAAATCAGGCTAAATTGAATCAAGGCTGCTTTAACTCTGAGATACGCTTACCCACATAATGCTTAAATCAGTTTAACTAACCTCCTTTAGTAGTTAATTTAGATTAATTTTCTTGTAATATTTTGTGTTTCCAAAGACAAATAAAATTGCGATTCTTGGTACAAATTCTAATACAGTCATTACTATATGAAGCAAAGACCAAAAGTCTAAGAGACTGCAGGATTTGTCAACAAAAAGAAGCTGTGCTGGTTATTTAAAACATATCAGTCCCTTAATCTACTTTGTTTCCATCTCAAAAGCTCTGGCTGAACTCAGGAAAGCTTGTTTTCTCTTTAATTATTTTCAAGAATGTCATATTTGACCCACTTCTGGTCATATCAGTGCTTTGTACATCTTTGAGCAAGACATTTTTGTCTTGATTTCCGAGTCATTGATAGGCTACATCAACGGCACTTTCCTTTTAAAGATGTGTTCAGAGATCTAGTTTTACATATACACTGCTAGCATCTCCTAGCATTAAACAGTAATCCCCACAATATTTTAGGGGTCTGTGAAATTAATGAGTGTTACAAAGGAAACAGTAAATTCTTCTCATGTCTTAGCTGTTTGGTGACAGCAACGGTGTTTTTAACTAATTTGTCTGAAAAAGTTCTTGAACATGGAAATAACCTAGAGTTTTAAGCAATTTCATAATCCTAATTTTATTTATTTGGATTCTTTAAAGATTTTTTTCTGTTTTTCTGTTTTAACATAGTTTCATCACCTCTTCATAGCATTGGAAAGTGATTTTTTGCAGAATCATTGTACTAGCAACAAATTCTGCAACATGATGTATAAAACAACAGTGTGTATAAAATTCTTAAAGCAATAGCTAATACAGGGAAAAAAACAACCAACCAACCAACCAAGAAACAAACAAACAAAAGACAAAAAAAGGCACATGGGGCAGAAACAATTCTAGCATACATTTCCCATCATGAGGGCAATAAGCAATTCTCAGGTAAAAAAAGACATCTGTTTGAAGGATGGAATGGGATTGAAAATTGCCAGGGTCAAATTGGTTATATGAGTGTTTTCTTCCCTTATCTCTGACTGCTTTAAATATAAAAATGCAGGCTTGGCTGAGGCCCCAGCTCATCAGAGCAGTTAAGCATGCCCTTGAGTGTAAGCATGTATAAGACTTACTGATGAGGAAGGGAAGAAGAAAGAAAGAGATTTGAAATTTGAACATTAGCTTGATGTGAACAAAGATTGACATTTTCTGTTGAGGATTGTTGCTTAAACATAAGATAACTATCAGATAACTATTTCTGAAAAATACAACTAAATTCCCTGGTTTTCTTCTGATCCATTAATGCAACAAGTATAAGTGTATTTCTAGACTATGTAGACCAGGTATAAACTTTTTAAAATTACTTTTTGTTTTCATAAAATAAGAAAAAAAACCTCATTCAATAATTCAACATAACTGAATTTAATAATCTGTTAGGAACATATTTTTATATTTATCTAAAATCATGTGTAAACCAAGGATTCAGACAGTATTTAGAGACAAAGCACTTTCAACTTCCTGCTGAGAACCATCATACTCCATGAAGTCACTGAGACCTTAGGGTGTGTGGCACTGTAGCAGATTTTGCATAAGGAGTAAATGGACACAGGGCATATGTCACCTTCTAGAACTGCTATCTACAAATTCCATTTTGGGCTAATTTCTTCATCATGATTGTTACTGTGTAAGGGAATGAGATTTATGGTAACAGGACAAATACAGAGAGCAAATGTCCTGGTTCAGCCAGGATAGAGTAAAGTTTTCCTCAGCAGAGAGAGAGGGGGAAGGGATCTCCAGCCGGGTTATTCATACCATGCTGACGTCATGTTCAGGGGCAGAGCATTTTTACCTTTTCGCTTCGGGTGTTGGTTTTTGCCATACACGCGGCGGGTTTGCTCCTTGATCATTTAACGGTATTTCTCTGTATATCTTTTGTCTTGTTCACTGTTATTGCTGTTTATTGTTGTTACCATTGATACTGTTGTTATTCAGATTGTTCTATCACTCTGGTGTATTAAATCTCTTATTTTAGCCGGGGTCTGTGTTTAACTTCCAGCCTGACCGGCGCGGGTGGGGGAGGGGCAACAGCCACGTGCTCTCATCCCGGCAAGAATTAAACCTTGCACAGTAAAAAAGTCAGAACCCCCGAACATGGAACTAATTCTACTGAAACAATTTTAATAGCAAAAGGACACATCTCCAATATTTTTTGTGCCTGTTATCTGATTTGTTTTTATGTCCACTTGTCATATGAAAAATATTATGAATTAATAGAGATTTAGATATAGCTACTGTAGTTAAGGAGTCATGCTGAAAGTCAAGTGGCTGAACAGTTAATATGAATATAACCAGAATGTGGTTGTGGTATCACGATTAAAGCTCTGGGAAGAACAAGGAGTGCTAGCTGGCAGAATCTTTTCTTATGTGCAGTAGGGTCCTGGTCCTTTTGGGACTCTACATACAAATTAATAATAAAAGCACTGTTTTTCGTTGAATTCAGAGGGCAGTCATGTTGGCAATTATAGGCTCCTAGTGAGCTACATATTTATTTGTATTAGAAAATGCCATATAATACCTGCAATAGAAAAAGCCTAATAGATAGCTTATCCTCACATACTGTGCAACTGCAGGAAAAAATCAGAGAAAGCAAAATGATTGAACTTAAAAAAAGATATTATGCTATCTAAAAGAATATACTGACCCCTTTGCAACAGAGTAGTGGGCTGATTGGCAAGGAAAGAAAAAGACATAACCCTTTTATCCCAAAAAAATTAAAATGTGCAGTTGTATCTGCAAGCGCTGTGAGGGGTGAAATTTTCTGGTCTGTTTTAAAGCTCTACTCATGCTGGCCTCCCTTTACAGTTGTCCCCTGTACAGTCGGTACATGCTTATTACAAACTATCAGCTTGCTGTATTGTCTCCACCACCTTTGGGGAATGCATTTAATTTACCTCTATTTAGGGCCTGTTAGCCAATACATGACAAGTGTTACGAGTAATTTCCTTCAGATGTCAATCTGTGTCAAAAGGCTAACCTCTGAACTTTCCATTTGCTCTAGCTCTACAAGGAAATTACTAAAACCAGAAGTTGTGAGTCAAGCTGTTGAGATCAGGGAATAGAAGAAAAATATGTTGGACATTCTAATATTATTCTAAATCACGTCAGTTTTCCCTGAGTTGAGAATGGCATTAGTAATCAGGTTTTTAACATTCATTTATGGTTTCCATTGTGGGGAAAAGTGTGTTCATGGCAGTTCTAAGGGGTCAGATCCTTAGAAGTTTCCTACTGTCTTTTCTTACTTTACAGTGCAGACATTTCCTTTGCAGGAAGAGTTGTATGCATTGTCCCCATACAAACTTCTTCAGCTGTCTGTGAATCAGAGAATGATAATGTTTTTCAGTATTATCTCATTTTATCTCTATCTACCCTCTTGTGTTAATAAATTGACTTATTCTTCTCCAAACAAAACAGACATAATAGCAGTGCAAAGGAATTGAAGAAACACATGAAAGCATGGATCTCCTAAACAGAGGATTAGATTACCAATTTTTTGTCAGATCAGGAAAAGCTTTCAATTCGTTCCGACAACTGAGTTTCCCAGAATCTCAGTTCTGGGAATTCACATCAAAGTGACATGATTTGGGCATCACATCAAAGTTATACAGGGACTACTCTGAACAGTTAAATGACTCCTTCCTCTGCACAAGGCCATACAGAACACAGTGCTCTTCATAAATTTCCACCATGCTAGGGCTCACTGTTACCACCTTTTTTAGCCCCTTCCAGGTTTGTAGCTGTCTCCATCTTCACCGTAACCCTTCTAAGAGCTCTGTCTGCTCCTCCTTTTTATCGCCACCACACTCCCATTGCCACAGGGGGGGTGAAAATGTTAAACACTTAAACTTTTCAGCTGTGTTCTCTTGGGTTTGACTGGGTTTTAGAACTGTGATCTTTAATATATGTTAAAGCATTTGCTTCCATTTTATCTTACTTTAACTTTGGATGATGTAAAACTTACCATCAACAAAACTTGGAAATGAAGACACTTTCTTTGTCTGTTGAGAAATAAAAATGATATAGCTGTAAAAAAATCATTATCGCAAACTGAAGTGAATTCATATTATGTTTAAACAGCTGACCATTGATTATAAAAAAATCAAATTTCTCTGTATAGCTTCTGCCACTGTTTAGCCCAGTGAAACACATTTAATCACAGTAATTAATCCAACCTAACTGTTACATAATGCTGTTTACCTGGAATCTCAAAGCATTTTAAGCAGGTCTTGCCACACAAAAATATAAGGGAGAGTAGGGTGGGAAGAACATGAAAATGACCTAGGAAGTTACTTGCCAAATTAGCCATACAAACCAGCAATTCCCAGTCCATTAGTTTGTCTGCTAGATCACATTTCCTATTAATGGTATCCCAAATTTCCAATTAAGAACATTTAACAATAATTTACAAAGCAAGATTCTGGATCTGTGAATAAGAAGAACTGTCCCTGACTGCAAAGTACATAGCATTACACTTAATCCAAGCAGGGGCCACAACAGTGCTCTTTTTATGCTACCGTCTCTATTCTCAATAAAGAGATATAGTCCTTACATTTGCTTGTCTTTTGCCAGCCTCCTCAGGCATTCCCATTTCTGGGAAAGAGGCTGATTTCTCCATTATGGGAAAAGGCTTTAGAAATATGCCTCTTCATTAATGTAACAGGCTACAGGCTAAATATGTTACATGTTTTCAAGATAACAGACTTCTGCTTTAAGTCTGAATTTCATTTCATTGTGTATAGCCTCCAGCATAACCCCATTCTGCAATCTTAGATGTCTTCTTTGCGCCAGTCTTCAGTGACAAGAGCAGGTCTGCCTATCAGTCTGTCTTTTTCACAGCTGACTGAGCCAGGACACATCTTACCACAGAGGCCACTCAGAAAGATGTGAATCATTTGAGCCCTCAGCACTGAATGATGTGCTTGATATTAGGGGTTATTCAAAGAGAATTATTCCTATGGGAATTAAAGCAGCCCTTTGGTTTCAGAGACTGACACGGCAGGGGGGAGTGGGGGTGGAGGGCGGAAGCCAGGTTTTTTTGATGCTACTTTTGCTCTCCAATAATCCAAAAAGAAAATTGTGGAGTGTTCTCACTCTTCTGTATGTCATCAGAAAATTTTAGGCTTGAGTACATGCCATGGACAGTTATATAAAATGAATGTGGCAGGAACAAATTTATAGGTATAGTTCAAAGACTTTTCAGAATATGCAGACATGGTATTTATTGTCGGTTCAGAAAAAGAAACAGAGCCTAAATATGTGTGTGTGAGAGGAGGAAAGCTGAAAATTTGGTGCCTACTTCCCTAATGGAAGCCTGAACACAGAAAGATAATGAAGAGAAGGACCTAAGGTACCTACCTCAGGTGTATTATTATTGTCAACTGGTCCATTGAGGTCTGAACGCTGTTGCTTCCTTGGCTGCTCTAAACTATTGCACATCTAGAAGAAAAAAAGAGAAAGGATTTCAAATTCTGTCTTCTGAAAAGCTTCAAAATAAAGCAGAGATTTCAGTGGAAGTCAATGGTACAAAGGTCAGAAAAATGTCACCAGATTAAATTTAGAAAATTTGAATAAAAATTCATGAAACTTTAACATATGAAACTGCATCTAGCATGTTCTCCATCATTTTATGAAAGTCATTGGTCATGAAGCTGTTCTGTGTAGTTATTTATATGTACGTATATGTAGTTATTTATGTGCAATCAATAATCATTACTGATACTGAAATATCATAAAGTGATATAATAGTTGGAGGTTCCTATTGTAATTTAGCAAATATGAGATTCATATAAGAAAGTTTAGCTGTTTAATTAAAATAAAATATCTACTTTGATGTAAATAATAAGACATTTCAATTGTCATTAAGTAGCAGTTACACACAGATTTAAATTTAAACTAAATTATTTTATTTCAATGCAAAATTTTTACATGAAATTAAGCCAAATACGGACATGTTCAAATTGTTCATAAACCAAAGTCAGAATTTTTACATGTGTTTATTCTTAGTACTGGGGCAAAATCAAAATAATCCAAAGAGCCACCTCTGATCTGAAAAACAGAATCCTAGCACTGAATATAGGATTCTCTATTCATGGGAGATACCTCATGGCATCTCCTTCCTTTTGGGCCAAGCAGATCTACAGGATGCTGGCAGCACAGCTTCAGGTTTCTGAAGAAATGTAAAAGGGAAAACATAAAACCTTACACAAAAAAAATACGAAGTCTTTTAAACTATGGAACACTCTTTGTCTTCTAAGTTCTAATATTCTCAGGGGCAGAATTTCTTCTCCAGATGTGATGCAAGTCACAGACCACCAGCACCCAGCACAAGTGCCTGTGTCCCATACGTACCAAGAAAGTGAAGTTTTCATGACTCAGAGTTTCAGTGTTAGAAGTCTGGAAAACCAAGGTGATTTCTGGAACAAATTTTTATGATTTAGGATATTTCACTTTCCTTTTTTTCTCAGTCTCCCCATTATGCATAAAAAAGAGTGCCTAAATGACACTGTCATTGTAAGGCTTCACAAATGAGAACTTGTATCAACAGTTGTGCAAATCAAAAACACTGAGCCAGTATTATTTCAAACGGTCAGGCGTAATATTACATGTGAACAAAACTCCTCGTCTTCTGACTTTTGAATGAAATATGAAGCTGTAATCAAAGTCTGCATGTTCATCTCTAGACAAATTATTCCTTATGAGTAATAATTAGTCAGCTGAAGAAAATGTGCTAATGAAGCAGGTGTATTAGAGCTGTTAGCTCAGTAAGCTAATCTTCAGGTAAGATAACATACACAAAGCAAAAATTCACCCAACTAGTAAGCAGAATTTTAGGAAAGAAAGGACTATCTAGGATATACACAGAGCACCAAGACTTAGGGAACTACTGACTAGTGGCTACATGGCTGCAAGAGCTAAGCAGCTTACCATATCCCTGCTTATAAATGCTATTCTGTTTGAAACAAGACAAATCTAATTATATTGCATGGCTAAACTAAAATGGAGCAATATGTGTTGACGTGCAGCAAAATATATTAAGGAAATAAATATCTAGAGGCCTTTAATAAAACAAGCATAATAATCATACATTATTGCCTAAAATAGTAGGATTAGATCAAGTATGCTTTAAGCAGGGAAAATGACATGGCCACAATGAAGATACATTAAACTGTAAACAGCAATAGCAAATAAATTAACTCCCGTATGTACAACAGAATGTTAATACTTCTAAAGCTCTGTCAGTTCTGATTACCACACACTTGACTGACCTGAAAATGCACCTGCATATAAAGAAAGATTGGTTGACTCGTTTAGTGAGCATACCCTGGGTGTCATAAACATTATTAAAACACATCTCTGTCACAAATCTTACACGTTGGTTGGACTTATTCAGCCCTAGGGATCATAATACCAATCATGCTCTTTGGTAATAGTTGCATATATAATTCCATGTAGTTTTAATATAAAATATGACTAAACACTTGGCCAACATTTGTTTGATTTATAAATAGCTGTAATTTATTGGAGTTCCTATATTCAGTATTTTAGGAATATAAACAAACCTTCTTTATTGATTCCTAGCCACATATGTAGTATATACATGTGAAATACTGGGGTTTCAACCCCAAGCCCCAAATTAAGGTTGACATGTGGGTGATTCCCACAGCCCTTCCCAAAGGGGGGATGAGTTTGCCTTTAGGCTTCCCTCCAGGGTGCGGTGGCCTTGCAGACAGAGCCGTGGGGTAAAGGAGCCCCAGGTGTCTGCATTCAGTAACCCAAGGTCAGGTGTCCCACTGAGGGATAACAGCTGGGACCACTTGCAGGAGGGGCAGTGTCTGTCTGTGAGGTGGATGCCCTGTGCAGAGTTCCCTGTTGGGGAAGGACCTCCCGCCTCCCTGGGACTGGGCTCCAGTCAGGTCTGGCTTTTGTAAATGCGGGCTGTGTAGAGGTTCAGTATGTGGCTTCCTTGGTCTTATGTGTTTGGCTTGTTGACTTGGTTGTCTCCTGTCCCTTCTATGGGAAACTGCGTCACCATTTATTCCACTCGTTGGTTGTGTGGTGTTGTTGTTGGGGTCAGTGGGATTGATGTCGATTATGTATAATCTGACTTGTTTGCACCCCCAGCGCTCACCCATGTACTGACCCTTCTGTATCAAATACAACTTGGTTATTGGTTCATCTTTATGCTGGCTGTGTCCTTTATGCTAAGCCTGATAACTGGCAAAACAATGTGTCACATATGTAGTATGTATGTTATTGCATATTGGCTGGGTTCCAAAGAGATGTCTGTGCAGAATACACAACAAGTTGGGGTCAATCACATCACCTCTACAAGGAACATAAATGTCTTCTACTTACTGTACATGAAGGCCAATTTTTTTTATCCCCAGTGTTTCACCTATGTGTTTAGGAACCCCAGTCTAATTGGGCAGAATTTCAGGTACAATGAATACTTCTATGCACATCCATGCACACAATTATGTTCCACATCTGGCTGAGTTATTAACACTTTGTTCTTAAAAATGTTGTGATGGGGAGGGGAGAGTGTCACTGTGAACACTTACACTCAGCTTTGTTTGGAGTAATATCGCATTCTGGAGATCTTCTCAGCTTTGGAGTGTAGTACACCCTGTGTCCCTTCAGCAGCAGCACAAAATATCAAGTAGTCGTTAAGGGGAGCTGTGCCTGTCTGAAACTTTCTATGCCCAGCATGTGCCTGCAAATATGTGGACTGTTACAATGACCCTTTACAAAATAAGGGTTGTGATCTTCATGCTAAAGAAATGTTTGCTAACATGGTATCCCAGAAGGAAAAGGCAAAAGAAGTACAGAGAGAAGGGCTTCCCTTTCTTCCCATAAGACTTACAGTGTCAAAGGAGAGAACTCTGCAGAGTAAGTATGGCTGTATCTCCCATACACAGTTACAAACCATGTAGTCTTGCACATATGGAAGGAGATGCTTCTATACCAAGGATGAAGGGACTGTTTTGGATCTTCTTTATGGAATCGTTTTTAGAAAATATAAATTCTGGTATTCAGGGTAGGCTGAAAATTGGTTCATGCTCCCAGATGATCTGACCAATTTCAAATAAATTATCATAGTTGATACTTGCTTTCTTCATGTTTCTTACAGTTTCCACTTTATATTGTTAAGTGTTACAATAGCTAGAAAAATCACATTTAAGGGAAATTCTTATGAGGTATTATAAATATTTTATACCCTGACTTGCAGTTTAGAATAGGACCTAAAGCTAATCTGGAAATCTGGAATTGACTGCACATAAACACAGTGGTACAGCTATGTTAAAAGTCTCTTATCCTAGGATAAGATTCTGATAAGAGGGCAGATTCTGCAAAGGAAAGATATTAAAATATTAAAGGTGTACTGTTATTAATACTTTTGCCTCTGAGCAAGTACCAAGGCACTGTCCAACATCATGGGAAGGAACCTGAGGCAGTAGAAAATGCCATCTTTAGGCCAGGAGGAATATCAGACTACTTATTTGAGGACACTGAAGCATCTATGCACATCTTGCTGAAATAAGCCTCAGCTCTATCCATGCCCCGGCCAGCCCTGTCCTATGGCTAATTGTCAGGCCTGGGGCCACCCGGGCCTCTCTCCGCACACCAATCTTGCAGGGCCCCTCCCAGCCAAGCAGACTCCCTTATAACTACCCTTCCTGCAATACAGAGTCCTTCTCAGCTGGAAGTGAGGGCTGCTAATGACTGAGTTCTGCTGCTTGTTAACACTACTCGTTGGTTACTCACTCCAGTGTAAGCTGTTTAGCTTTTCAGTCAAAGGTCATCTCAGCAATACAGTCCCCCTCAAAGTTGCCACCTGAGATCCCGAATGCTGTTGTGGTGCTGATGAAGCACTTTCCTACTGGAGAACATGCTGCTAGAAGCCAGCATGTTAGTCCCTTTCTTGTTTTGTTCAGAGGAATAGCTTATCTGAGAGAGGAATGAAAGATTATTTTTTTCAAAATTGTTAATCCTTCTTGTAAAGAGTTGGTAAGCAAGCACTGTGTGCAGCTTAAAGGTGTGGTAAGACTTTATTACTATGTTTAAACATTTGAATATGAGGCTCAGAATCCATACCTGCCAATCTCTTTACTTCCAATACTGTTCAAATATTATCAAATGTGTTCAGAAACTAATGTACTGCATATGTATCCTATAACTTGTCTTGAGGACGACTAAGCTTCTTGGAAAAGAGATGTTTTGTGGTAGGTTGACTAGATTATTAAGGTACCTGTTGCACAAGTAAGCTAACAGATCTAATTGACTTTTCATCCAGGTTTGTTGTCTCTCTCTCGAAAATAAAGGTAAAGCAGATGGGTGGTGTAAATTTGTCACTTAAGGACAAAACTTCAGTTTCTAGTTTAAAATTCTGTGATCTTCTGTTGGTTTCTGAAGACAGTTTATCATTGGGCCATGTG